TTGTGTATAAATATTTAAGTTAACAATTTTCATGACAAGTTAAAGTATATAATTTTATGATTTGAAGGTTTGATCTCTAAAAGTGTTGATCGATTTAATAAAAGTTGTTTGATTTATAAATCACTTGATTCAATTAATTTGCAGCTCATTATGAGCCTGAGTATTTGATATTTTAATTGTCCCTCTACCCGGGACTGGTTAAGTAGGACCATGAACTTTGTATGATCTGGTCTTTCCTCGAGTATAGTTTAACTTTCTTGGGGGGTGTGCACACTTAGGTGAGGAAAATTGGTTTAGAAATATATCAAAAATTGAGAAGTTTATAAATTGGAAATCTATTGGTTTGGAAAGCTTTTACTGATGGATATTACTACCCTTGGAAGGTTTAATTATTTTTGGAAAGTTTAATTTTGGAAAACGACTCATGACAGGTTTAAATTTAAATGGTTATTTCGAAAGCATGTTTGCCTAATAAAAGTATTTACATGCCTTGCACTTACACGTACTTAGCGTTTTTGCTAATCTGTTTTCCTTTTTGTTTTGGTTCGCCTTGTTTACCATTTTGGTAAGCAGTCTTGATTTCAGGTGTGAAGTTGTTCGTACGCATACTAGAGTCGGGATTGGGATCACATAGTTAGGAATTAATTTTATTTATGTATGGAAATTGGTTTATTTTGAAACAATTATTATGGTTATTCATATCATTAATAAAAGTTAGTTATTTTTCCGCTGCAATTTGAGTATTAATTAAGCCTTACGTTTTCACGTGGCGGTAATACGCCCAAGTCTATCTCTACGGTATTTCTATACGTATAAATATAGTGTTTACGTAGAGGGAGATTTGGGGGTGTTACAAATTCCCAAGGAAACCCCACGCTCATAGAGGGACTCTACGCAATACTTCTTTTGGGGTGCTCAAAGTTTCCGAGGATAGTAATCTTCATGCCCTAGATGAACAGAACAATATCTTTTGGTCATCAAATATATCTAATGATCAGGCAAATAATTCAGTAGCTCAACTTTTAGATATTCTGCTTTCAAATACTATTGGGGAGACAATCTAGCAGAGTTTGGAACATCCTTCACACTCATTGTTGCCATCAATGCACGTTGATGTGCATAGTAGCTCAACTTTTAGATATTGGAAATCTTATTCTTCTTTCAAATGATACTAGGGAGACAATCTGGCAGAGTTTGGAACTTTAGTTTAGGTACTTTTCCTCGAAACCTTCCTGAATTTTTCACTTTAGATGGTGATCCCAGCTATAAGATCAAACTCAATTTTCCTCCAATGTGTCTGCAAATTCCTGACTGACTATAAAAGGTAATAATCCGGGTTATTACCTTGTCTCTAACAAGGTGATTCCTTACTGATGGGAAAATCCTCAGTGGAATAGCCAATTGTGACCCAATTGATAATTTTTTTTCTTCTTTAACTCTTTAATATCTTACATTGTGCGTCGTGCGTCGGATGACGGGGACGGACACAACTCGTGGTACGATGTTGCTCGTTGGGCCTCTCGGGGGAGTGGGGAGGGGGTTTTGAGCGAGCCCGATGTCCCCGTAAGGGCGTTTGAGGGCTAACGTTGGACAACAGGACTTGCTGAACCCTTTAATTAAGTCATTTTGGTCTTTTAGCAGCACTGCAATGTCCGCAACTTAATGATATCCGCTCAATCGTTGAATTCAAATCCCAACTTGATGACCTTAAAAATGACTCATTATGAAATTACGACCGTAAGTTATTATTATATCTCAAGCATAGATTTATCATTGCTCATAAAATAATCATCTTCGCAATTTAAAGTTTGAGCTCTAATATATAGGTCTCATACCCTTAAATATGATAAAGTAACTACTCCAGCATATCTGTTTTTTCTGGCAAAACATAATAAATACAGTAGAACATCCCTCATACTCCGTAATTTATTAGAATCACGAAGAAGCAATGAACCTTATAATATGTTAGCTTCATTCATATTTATAAGTACAAATTGGTTAGAATGCATGCAGCCATATTTTCTTGCTTTGTCAGGAGGGAATGTATGGAAAAATGGCCCCATTACAAAATGGTATAAGTCTGTTAGAAATCATATTTCATATACTAGTAGATTTTGCTGAGCTGTGGCAACACTGGCAAGTCTTGCAAAATTAAGTGAGCAATTTCCGTAAATAATTCTAAAATAAAAAATAATTCCGTATATATGTCAGTTTTAAAACCATTTATCGTGATACCGTACACATAGGATTAGTGTAGGGTTGTAAAATCCGAGGCTATAAACCGCTAATAACAATAGCGGATTTTAAAAAAGAACCGCTAATGTCATTAGCGGTTTATTTATTAAAACGGCTAAATTCATTAGCGGTTTAGCGGTTTATACTTAAAATACTCAGTAACTTATTAGGCTTATGTTTAGGTTCTTCAAATAGAACCGCTAATACCATTATAGGTTCTACTTAAAGATCCTCTAACCATTACATGTTCTTCAAATAGAACCGCTAATGGTATTAGAGGTTCTTCTAATTTGTGTAGAACCGTAATCTTTATTTGCTGTTTATTAATAGCCAAAAAACTAACCAAAAATCCGAGCCTACGTGGACGGTATGGTGGGAAATATTTTTTAAAGCAACGTACACACGGAAATATTTTTTATTTAGCATTATTTACGGAAATCGCTCAAAACAACTCTCTTTCTCAGCTCCCCCAAAACTTAACCATCATTTTTTTTTTGGGACAGAATCCATAACCAAATTTATGCTAACAAACGTTTATATATACTCCCTCTGTCCCCCATTGATATTCACTTTTGATAGAAAATTACGGGAATTAATAAACTTAAATAAGAAGTACTCTCTCCGTTTTGAAATACTTGCTCCATTTTTTCATGCGCGGAGTTTTAGGAGAAATTGAAGAAAGTAATAAAATATGAAGGTAGTGAGGTAAGGGAATAAAAAATTATAAAAAGCAAAAGTAGTGGAAGAATTAGAGGAGAGAGAATATGAAGTTAATAAAATATGATTTATGTTGGGTTCACTAGGTGAGAGAATTGAATTAAATATTATAAAAACATTCCAAATAAGGAAATGGAGCAAGTATTTAAAAACGGTCGAAAAAGGAAAGTGGAGCAAGTATTTAAAAGCGGAGGGAGTAGCAAAAGTACATTGAAAATGTAAATTTACATTGGGTATGGAAAAAAGTAGAGAGAGAAAGTAACTAAAGTACATGAGAAAGTAAAATTTACACGGGAAAGTTAAATTTGCACAGATATTTTTGCAAATGGGAGAAAATTTTGGTAAAAAAATAATATTAATGGCACTAAAAAAAAGCAAATGTGACTGCGGAGTAACATTTTGTTTCACAAAAAATGGCAAAAGTGACTATCAATAGGGGACGGAGTGAGTATTTTTTATTTATTTATTATTTTAAGAGTTTGGTCTTTAGATTAACAATCAAATCAGTATATTGAATCATCAAATATATAAGTAGAAATATACAACCCCCCCTTTTTTTATTTATTTTTTATTTTAATGTAACACTTCTATATTTAATAATTTTATACTACCTTCGTGTTTTTTTAGTGTTACAGTTTGACCTTTTCAATATTCACATGATGGTTTTGAGTTGATACTTTTTTTTTAATTATTGTATATATTTTCATAATACGATTATCAAATTTCCTATGTAGTATTCCCTCCGTCCCTATTTGATAGTCACCTTTGGCCAATTTTCATGGTAATTAATAAACATGAATAAAAAGTAGCAAAAGTAAATTGAAAAAGTAAATTTATATTGAGTATGCAAAAAATTAATATACAATAATTTTTGAAATACAATAATTGTATTGGCAGGGGATTATATGAGCTAGTTGCAAACAATCTAATTATCTTACAACTTACAACAAATTAAACTTCAGCCCAAATAACCAAACCCACTTGATTTACAGATCCAATAAACATTCTAATAACGAATTAAATTTCGAATTCCATCATATCTTTTTTTATTCATAATTCAAATAAAACCCTACTTGGTTTCGAAATTATAATATTTAATTAATGTTTATTACTTTCAAATTCCATTTCGACTTCAAAATTCAATGCTTCGAAAATTCCCATCGGGTTAGGATCTTCACCCCCCCATTTCCCAAGACCCCAAACCACTTCCCACAATTAGAAAACAACAATAAATTATCGTCAGAATATAATGATAATGAATGTTGTACATAGTTTAAAGGGATATATATAAGAAGCTAAAAATGAAAAACACAAATAAAAATATAATACAAATTACACTGATTTATGCGTGATTTTATTATCTAAATTAATATATAGTTTCGTATTAAATTAAGAAATATTTTAAATGCTTATTCATAGCCATAAGAACCACGTATTTATAGCATTACTCATATAAATTGCTCTCATTAGAATTGAAGTATTTTGAATAGTGTTTGAACATTATAACAACTAAAATATTTATTTCGTTGGTGAAAAAGTTATCAAATATTCGAATACGAACAGATGAATCAGAAAGAAAACATCCTCACGGCTACAAAGGTTCGTTAGATTGTCTCTCCAACAAGGCTGAAATTTTCAGCGATATAAGCGGGAGATGCTCCGCAGTGCAAGATCTACTCGACGATCGTAGTTTTTATGAAGGAATATTCTATTTGATTCAATATCTTATGTATTTGTTAACGTCGAATCTTTATTGTAGATGTCGTATGACTTTTAATTAATGAAATATTTTTGCTTTTCAAAAAAAAAATATTTATTTATTTATATGCCCTCAATAATGTGCATTATAAACAAAGTATCTTTTTGAAATATAAGAATAACTAGATTAGACCTGTGCGTTACACGCTTTAATTAATTTTTACTATTATGCATAAAATAAAGTTTTATCATTTGTGTATAAAAGAGTGGTAATTTTTTTTTAACGTATAGTGTAGGTTAAAAAAAAATGAATGATGACATCACACATAGCAAATGAAGTGAAATTTTTTATTGTTAGAATGACACGTAGGATAATTTAAGGATTGATGGTGTCAGCGATGTTTTGTTTTAGTAATAGTTCATAGAATAAATATGCAAACTTTTTTTTTTTTTTTTTGGATTAGAAAGGGACAAAGGCAAGGATGAGAATCGATCCCAGGATGATAATCGGAAGGAAAGCTCTAACCACTCGAGTAATAACTCAAATTGTGATAATAGGCTAAATCACAAAAGCTCGCCGGACTACCTCACTTACCTCTTATTAACCTGGATATTGCACCACCACATGTATTTTTCATTTATACTTCATAGGGAGTAGTATTTTATTCAAAATTCTTTTGTTACAAAATCTCCCTATGTCTCTTCCATATAAATAGCGGAGTAGCTGCTACTGTCACAATAAATTTGATCTAGTAAACTTTCTCCAAAAATGCGGCTGGTAAACACCACAAACAGCGGCGGAGAAGGAAATCGTACGAAGGCGGCGAAATCCCGGCGAGAAGAAGGTGTAATTACGGCCGCCGGAGAAGTCGAAGAAGGTTGTAGAACAGTGTGTTACTCTCCCGCACGTGTGGTGGTTTATCGGCTGCTTGCCATCGCCAGAAAATGTCGTAACGGTGGAAGGAGAGAGAAAGTTCAGATCAGTGACGAATTTTCGCCGGAGATTTCACGGAAGGCCGATGATCGCCGGAGAATCAATGTTTCAGGTGACTTTCAAATTTAAATTAGTTAGGAGCTAATAATTCAATTGTGATACGAGTATTATGATTAACTGATGGAATTATTATGATCTTAAATGTTTACGATTACTCGATTAGTAGAATTATAGCTCTGTTAATCACGTTTATCATGTTAAATTGAAAGAGTGGCGAATTAATTTTTTACCTGTACAAAATTATAGCTCAGTTAATCACGTTTATTCTTGGCTTCTTGCTAAGTAACGTTTTATTATCTGCTAATAAATCAAACTTAAAAATATGTTCTCGGTACTTCGTAGCATATAATATTATTACCATTATTGGGCAATTGACCAGATTGGTAAATAAAAAAGACCCTTAGCGACAATTTGGTAAAAAAAAATAATTTCCAACCATAATTTGGCAAATAAAATAATATTAGGCGACAATTTACCCACAAAATACAAATATTTCCAACAAAATACTCCCGAATGCTTAATTTAGTTCGTTTTTCTTAGTTTTTTTTATCAACCCTTTTAATGGATATAATAATTTCAAGATAAAAATTGTTGAAGTATCAATTTCACTTAAGTTTCATAACCCTTATTAACGAAATTCTTTTAAAAAGGGGTTGAAAATAAATTTGGTATTGGGATTTAGCAAAATAAAAAGGGGATGTAATAGTAATTCAAAATCTTAAATGGGAAAAATAAATTTAAAAACACAAAAAACAAATTAAATTAAGATTTTTAAAGAATTTGTTGACAAAAATAAGAATTTTTGGGCTAAATGTTGCTGGAGTTCATTGTTTTTACCAAATTGTTGCATAAGTTAGCTTTTTTTATCAAATTGTCGGCGGAATAAGTTTTTTTACCAATTTGTCACTAAGGATCTTTTTTATTTACCAATCTGGTCAATTAGCCCACCATTATTTGACGTAGTCACCATTTTAGGAAATGTATATGATCTTTATTATTACAGAGTAGTTCTTAAGGTGTACTATAATACATAAAAGTTTCTCCGGTGAATGTTATTAGGTGAAAATTGTGTTGCTAATGTTGTACTACAGAGTATCTACGAAATTGAAGTGTAATTAGGTGCACTTTTAAAATTATACTTCGTATCCTTCTAAAATTTTGAAATTTCTACTATGCAAAAACTATAATTAAAGTTGTACTATGAAGATGTATGGACCAACTGTATTCTAATCTAGTTTAGTTCAATCAAATATCATTTTAAAGTCGCAAACAACACTTGCAATTTATATTTGATGTGGTAGTTTAGGCAGAACTTTGGAAGGTTTTAGCCCTTTTAGGCGAACAAAAGCCTAGGCATAGCCCGCAAAAGGGATGAAGCAAAAGCACATACTCGTATATAGTTGAACCTACATGCGACCATGCAGGCTAACAGTTGCAATGATCTTTGACTTATTGAATTATAAGTTGTCTAATTGAGTCCAAGGGGTGCCTTAATCATACAAAACAGAGGAAACAGAGACCCATAAAACTCCTAAAATGTATGTTCAATCTGTTTCCAAGCTAGTAAAGGGGTTATAAACTTGGGTGGTTTTGCTTAGAAAAAAGTTATACATCATATTATCATAATTAGATAAATTAGTATATAATCTATGTATTGAACAATAGCTGTAACTTATATAGAGTGATAGTGTGATGTTCTGAAAGTAAATTTCAATTTTCTGTTAGGACTTCAAAGTCAGGAGATGAGCTTCAATTTGGCCGCAGGACTTGGTTTGCTATCCCTTATTGCTGCTAGCAAAACTGAGCTCGATAAAACAATGGAATTGCGTAAGCAAATGGAAGTCTTTTTAGAAAGTTTCAAAGAGGGGAACAAAAGCAAAGGCACGACCCCAAAACCATCTGATTCTGATAATGCATATGCTGTGAGCACTACCATGGACATCCTTAGTAATTACTCCGTTGAGGACCATGCACTTAGCCAACAAGGATCTGGAAACACTTATGCATGTGCTCCACACTGTGACATCCATCAGAAAGAGGAGTTTGTGGAAGGTATAAATCACCTTGAGGCAGAATTAGCTGCTGAATTAGATCGAATGCAGCTTGATGTAGATTCAGGAGGGTATGTGGAGACAGGAGAGTCATCAGAATTACAAGAGGAAGTTACTGAGGTATACAACTTTGACTCTTTGTGTGCCTTGGGGTTTCGGAATATTTACTTTTTTATGCTCTTGAATATATTCTGTGTTCTGTAATTTCTTCTGATGCGTATATATCATGATTACTGGCAGCCTACATATGTATAGATCGAGTATTCTATAGTATAGGCTGATGTGCTAGGTTGCGCCGTTGTGGAATTAATTTGTCTACGGTTGTTTTAGCACTGATTATCTGGATTTACATCTCATTTATCAAGAGCATCGTAAGATTGTATGATAATAGTGCTAGTTGTGGCCCTGTGATTTGTGTTATATTGATATGCTGTCTCTAAACATATACTACGTATGTTAAAGATTCCATGGCCTGCAAACTTAAACCAAAACACTTTTGAGACGACTCAATTGTTTGCACTAGTCTTTGTTGTCAATTATTGTGTATAAATTTGCATATATGTGCCTTGTGAAGTTCTATACTTAAGAGATAAATCATACTCTGTACCTTGAAACATTTTCTAGTTTTATGTCATGTCTTCTGCTGCCTGCACTTCTGAACACCTGAAAAAATCCTACATAACATCGCTTATTCATTAGCTTCAGTAACTTTGTAATTGACTGCTGGAACATAAATTTGACAGATACCCTCTGAAAACACTGCTATTGGAAGTGTTAACATGAGCACTGGAGAAGTTATTGACCCCCATTATGTTGACAACACAGAGTTTAGTGGTGTTCCTCCTCTTGAACTTGAGAGACGATTACATGAGGTACTTGAAACAAGACAAGAAGAGCGGATAAAAGAACTCGAAGTTCATCTAGACCGCATGACGAAAAAGCTTCAGGAAAAGGAGGTAGAAGTCACTTGGTGGAAAGATACTGCCAAGCTTATTTCCAAGCAAGTCCCTGAATCATCCCGTGCCTTGAGGTAAAAGTCGCACATTAAACTACATTCTATCATCTGACATTAAAGTCGCAAACTTACGAAAATTGATGTTTTGCAGGTAGGTTTCCGATTATAGCTTGTTAATTATGATGGATATATTGCAAAGTAATTGGACCTTTGGCTAAAATGCTGCTCATCAAAAGGATTTTAGCTGTTTGAAATCCCTGCAATTTTTGTAAATATTATACTATTGTCAATATTTGCCTTTTTGCTAGATTTTCCAGTTTCCTATTATGCTGTTTGAGCAGACCTGGACTTTTGTTTTTTTTGGGAAATTCTTAATGGTACTTTTAAGCTTTTTATTCTTCTTAATGGTAAACATCAAAAATTCAAATTATCTTTGGTAATCAACAATTTATGTTATTAATTTGGGTAATGTTATATGTAGCCCTAAGGGCTATATATAAACATTAAATATACTCTTGAAAATTGTATAAAATTAGGAATTCATGACAAAAACACGCGTAAATAAGTGTTATTAGTGTTTATATTTTGATGATTTCTTAACTTTTTACGATTTTTAAATGTAAATTTAATGCTTATATGTAGCCCTAAGGGCTATGTGTAACACATTCCATTAATAAAATGGTGACATTAATGAAATTAATCTACAATTTTAAGCCTAACTATAGTTAACTAAAGGCAAAATGACTAATATATCCTTAAATTATCCTTTTAAAAACATAAACCATGGTTAATATTTTTAAAAATTGCTTAACTAATGTTACCACTGAATTAGTTTTATAAATTATGGATTACGATAATTTGATATTTTAGTGTTTACCATTGAGAAATATAAAAAGCTTGAGAGTACCATTGAGAATTTCCCTTTGTTTTTTAATGACATAAATAACTCTAGTAATGCTAGATTAATCTCTTAATTCGGATTCATCAAGTAATCATAGACATGGTTATTATCCTCTACTCTAGTACCGTGTCCTATATTTTAGTTTTTGTTTTTTTATTGTTATGTGGATTTGGGCTGCTTTAAATGTATATATTGATCAACTTAAGATAAAAAGCCAAAAGAGGAGAGTAAAATGTTGGTGTCCAACTTTTGAACTCCCCCAAATTGCCGTATAAGCTTTAAAATTAAAAAAAATAAGTAATGTAATTTATTTGCCAAATTACGTCAATTTCAAACTTATATTGGCTTGTAGAATTTGTCAAAAAAATATTTAATATAGAGTTGTCAAAAGTTGATCCGACCCGAAATATCGACTCAAACCCGATTATTAACCGACCCATCTGAACCTG